GCTTTCCTATTAATAAAGGCGATAGTTATTTGTTCTAGTTTCAATGAAAGTACGCCAACCAATTTGTTTACAATGGTTACTACAGCTGGTTTAAGAGACCTGTGATCGGGTCAGTTTATTGGACACTGTGGGGAAAACGTTTCAGGTGACGGATGTAGCTGTTAGCCAGAGGGTTACAGGCCCGCCATAGCTTCATCTCTTTCATTTTGTCTTGGCTGGTTAAAAGTTAGGATAAGTCAGCATTTCCTTACTTGCATCCACCATCAGTCGCCTTCATGGTGGCGTCCCAAGTTCAGCCCATTCAGATATTTCTGGTCAGAAAGCGTGACTTCCACATGTACATCAGGGGTGCTGACGTCTTTGAATACTTTTACTCACTAAGACCAAGCGTGAAAGTCTGATGTAGAACTTGAGTACATATGGCTCTGAGATCACCCGCTACTTTAAGCACTTCATGAAGCTTTTATGAGACCTCTGATTGCTCTTCACAGAATTCGTTGTCCCCTAAGAGTCCTCTGGAGTCCCCTTCGGCGGCGTCCTTCGCCCGCTACTTATGGGTGTATGGCTGAGTGAACCATCTGTTCACCGAGTCAGGATGTGCCAGCAGGCTTCTGCTCTCCAAGGTCCCAAACTGTACTCATGATCTGTAAAGAATCCCACAGTGGAGCCTGACCCCGATATCACATGATAGTGATGCTTTCAAAAAAACTCATCTGCAGCTCGCCAGAAATACTTTAAACTTTGGCGTTGTGGCAAATTGATCGAACATATTTAACATATAAATATCTGGGTCAAAGGGGTCGCTGCTGCTGTCTAGTATTACAAACTGTAAGTGAATGTCACAGACTAGGTTTTGGATTATTGTTTTCAGACTTTGCGTTTGGATTTTTCCCTCCACAGATTTGGGTTTCTCAAGCCAGACAGAAGTGACCCAATTCAGGGCGAGACGGTGAAACTGGGGAGAGGAACGAGGTTAGAAACACGGTTTTAGAGTTCAGGTCAGTCCAAAGTTCATTAGCGAGCTTACAGAACAGAAATGTCAACAAGCCAAAACCACTAAATGTCTCTTCTTTCCATGTGGCATTCAAGGACAACCATTGCTTCATATGCTATTTGTCTGATATTTAAAGGAATATTCCGGCGTAAAATTGATTTAGGGTCAATCACTCAGTAATAGAGTTAGACACCCCCTCGAGAGATGAATGTTGCCAACCACAGATAGCAATACAGAGAGCCACGCACTCAACCAAAAAGCCACAAATAATGCTCAGAACAGCACCTAACTTCATCAACAGGACATATAGGGTCCCAGCCATAGTACTAGCCACCAAACATCTTTTTAACTTTGCCTAATTTCTTCAGCAAAGAGACTAAACACAGCTCACCTACTCTCTTCCAGTAGGCCAATCTATTATGGACTGCAGCAGGGTGACACAGCTCAAGGAAGAACATTTATGATCATTTCTTCAAGGACATACAATCAGACCGAGACGCTAAGACAGAAGAACTACCGGGTCTGCAGTGCAAAATGATTAGTATTGCGATTCTTACTTCAAGGAAATGATAAAAAAAGATCATAAATGTTCTTCCTTGAGCTGCATAACCCCGCTGTAGTCCTGAGGTCTCGCTACAAACAAACGGCTGCTGGAAGAGAGTCGGTGAGTTGTGTTAAGTCTCTTTGCTAAAGAAATCAGACAAAGTTAAAAAGATGTTTGATAGCAAATACTATAGCTGGGACCCTATATGTCCTGTTGATGAAGTTAGGTGCTGTTCTGAGCATTATTTGTGGCTATAGAGTGGCGTTTTGGTTGAGGTTTGATTATGGCTCCTCAGACCGCTGTGTATTGCTATCCTGCGGTTGTTACAAAAGTTGGTATAACTAGAGAAGCAAACAATCGGCAACATTTATCTATTGGGGTGTCTAACTCGGTGTTACGGTGTGTTTGACCCTCCTAAATTGATTTTAAGCTGGAATTTCCCTTGAAAAAAATTCTCAAGAAGGCTCAAAAGAAGGCTGATTCGTTATCGTTGTAACCTCAGAAACAAAGAGACACTCCTTTACTTCGGTATCTTGGCTACAATCGCACTGAGTAAGCTTGTTAGACCAGCTTTATCACTGAAGTCAAAATGCTAATCAGTTATTCTTTAAAAAATCTGAGATACTCATTATTCTGTATTGTATCGAACTCATTTTTAAAACATAAAAGAAGCACAGGCAGGTATCTGATGCTGAGCCTGAGTTTGAAATGTGACTCTGGTTTTAAAAACACAGCCTGATAATGTCTCTGGATACCATCTATAGGGAGCTTTAGCGGAGGGGGGTTTTGGAGCACGTTGGATCCCAGAGGGCAGATAAAAGGCAGCGAACAGCAGCAGACGAGGCTTTCAGAGAGCCGCTGGGAGCACACTATAGAAGTGTGACACGGAGGCAGAGAGCTGGGTGATTTGTGTCCTCAGAGGACAGGAGGAAGCTGGAAAGGACTCGGTCAGGCTGTTGCAGCCATCTGCAGTGAGTCCTCTTAATGTCATTTCATCTGTCCTCTTCTTCCCCCCTGTTTTTTTTTTTTTTAAAAACCAAAAGCCTCCCTGCCTCCACCTCCCTCCCTCACCTCTCTGCCCTCTGAGGTGTCCCCTGCCTATGCCACTGACCCTGACTCCGGCCAGCACCATATGGTTTTCACCCGGCCCGGCATTGTGAGCAGATTATAAATGGCATTTTAAATAATCATTTTCCAATACCATCAGACTGAGAGAGCAGACAGGGGCATGGAGCCTCACCAAGTAAGCTGCTTTGACTGGAAAGACATTTGAGTCTTAGTTTTATAGCCGACATCTGTTATACGACAGCGGCTATAGGAATCTATTAAAACTGAAAAACCTGAATTTCCACTCCACTCTTTTAATCCACTCTCGTGTCTTACTGTGTCGTCTCTCGATCAGAAGGTTGGCTGTAAAATCCCGACTCCTGCAGCCACATGAAGCTGAAGTGTCCTTGGGCAGACACTTAACCCAAATTTACCCTCAAAGGCAAAGCCAGCGGTGTGGCTGTGATTAGTTAATACTGCTGCTGGGACAGTGTAGTACAGCGACCCGCCATCTGCCAGTCTGCCATCACAGGCTGCTGTAAAGGGATGAATGTGACAGGCGAATGTGAAACGTTCAAGTGCTCTGAGTGATTGGAAAGACTGGAAAAGTGCCACACAAGCTCAGTCCATTCACCACTTACATTTGATTAAGTGCTCAGGTGCTCCTGGGTGGATTTGGTGACCTCAGACACAGGCAGGCTGGCGGTTTTTGAACCTTTATGATAACTACGCTAACCAGCTGTTATTGGAGAGGTGTTTTCTTAATCTACTTACTAATTGATAGTGTAAATAAATCAGAATAAAAAGACAGTATTAGGGTGACCAAACGTCCTCCTTTCTCTGGACATGTCCTCTTTTCGGGGGCTGTCTGGCCTTGTCCGGGGGAGTTTACAAAATCCTTCAAATGTCTAGGATTTTGTATGGAAGTTTTGACTTTAGTTAGAAGCACGTAAAAACACCCGACCTGACCTGAAAAACCCTCAAAATTTCCTATGTACGACTAAGCGACTCCGCCCTGCATAGTAGTGTCCTCTTTTTTGGGATTCAGAATATGGTCACCCTAGACAATATTAATTTTAAGAATAAGAATAAAGAATAAAACTGACAAAACTAAAGTTAGCATCTCAAAAATTTACCTAAAGGCTCAATATGTAACTTACATTATGGTGTCTTTCAATCAAAACAATAACAGACTCGTTCACAGTTAGGATCATAAAGTAAAAAGTGGTATAATAAGAGTTTTTGAGCTAACGTAAAATGATCACAAACTTTGTTCCTAACTTAGTTTCTGGTGTTTATATTAGACCGGTGACCAATGCTACATATGATATTCAGACTAAACAAATAACATAGTATTATTTTACCATAGTGCACACATGGAAACTATTTAAAAACATGTATGTAGTTTCATTTGACTGTACAAGAGTTATTTTCCAGCCTGGTTTCGATCTGAGTAGCTCCTGTGACGCCTGCTGTATCGTGTTTGTTTCAAGACTAAATTGGCAAAATCGGAGGCACTGCTGACCCGACCAACAGGTGGACACAGTGAGGCTATTCATAAGGAGGCTCATATAGACCTAAAGTTTGGTTAACCACTGCTGATTGGCGTCAAAACCCTGTCTCAGAAAAAAATGAATGACTTTGCCATCGCTACATCCAGTTATTATACAATCTGTGACTTTAACACAAGATTCAAACATGCTGACTCACATTATATTGATTTAAAAATTCTGCAGTCGTATAGCTCAAAATAACAGACCCTCAAGCAGAGTTACCATGGCAACCAAGTATTCTTATTAGCTTACTTGTGGGTCGATTTAACGTTGAACTGCCAAAGCCCATACTGTGTTTGGTCTCGTGTTTGTTTTCTTCAGTTTGGTTGATGTCTCTGACATTTTGCTCCTAGTTTTACAAATCCCACTTGTTGTAAGGTTTCAACCAATCAGGATAAGGATTTATTTTAAGAGTCTTAAAAGTCATAAAAGTCTACAGATGCCATATAGAGCTCGACTAAATAGACAAACACATTAAAGCTGCTTCCATCTCTTCTCTTTCACTGTTTTGTCTCCACAAAGTTTCATTGAGAGGACAGTGTTGCTGAGCCGAGACAGCATCCCCGCGCCTCCACCTGTGGTCGCAGCAGAGAGGGTGGTGATTGACTGCAGGGACACGCTCAGATGGAGCGCAGCCCCCGCCCCGCTGACAGGAAGCCAAAAGGCCATCTGCAGCACCGGGCTTTTGTGTGACTGTGCATTGAGCTAGTTTATGTCCCACATGAATTTACTGCCAGTCTTAAGTTAGCTGGGCTGCAGGCGGACATTATTTCATGCGAGGGGAACAAAAGCAGTTTTAGTTAAGCGTGTGAGGCCGGCAGATGTAAACGTTGAGAGTGTTTGTAAAGATGAGAACATCAGATTTGGATTTCAGCTCAATACTTTATTAAATAATCAACAAAGTAAACGTCATCATCATCATCATGAAAAAGGAAAAAAAAACATGAAAAATGAAACAGTCACATTTGTTTTTCTTCAAGTTTCTCCCATCGACAGTATTTTGCTTTAAGCGACACGTTTTAGTGGCTTTATAAAAGTCACTCGAGGTGATGTGCTGCTTCTTTTCGCAGTGACAGAAACAATGGCGGCTCAGGGGTGTAAATATGGACGCTAGGAGGAGGAGGAGGAAATGGACATGTGACAGCTAAATACTCATCTGTATTTTCGTCTGTCTGAATGAGAAGTTTGTTTAAATCTAAATGCTGAAGCTACAGTCTGAGAGGCTGCAGGCCGAACCGGAGCTGCCTGCGACAAACGCTACATCTACAATGGCTGCCTTTGTTGAACCAGCTGGTGCACTGATGAGAAAAGCTATTGATGACTTGATCATGTCTTTACGTATACTGTGATATTTGTTGCAGAAGATGACCACATCTAATCGACCGATGAAGTCTGATATGAGACGGCTGAGTTTAAAATAAAGGACGTTCAGTTTGAGAACTCACATGCTTCGCTATTTCAGGATCAAGCTTGAGAAGATGATACCGATTATTCATATATTTTTATCTCTATTTTCTCTAAACATGAACATACCGCCTTCTCGATGATAGTTACACCTGCACACATTTAATACTGTTGACATCATGTTTCCCGTAAAGGAGCACGCCAATGAGATCCATTTTTAAGTTACCAAAGTCGTAGTATTTCATTTAAAACTTCACATATAAAAATCAAACAAAAGCAGAAGTAATAAAAAAAGAAACATTTCTAGTCTATCCGGCTGGCATGCATGCTACTACACAGCAAGACTATTTCGTTTTGTTCATATTTTCATTCTTAACAACACCCACATATTTACATCACGGTCTAAGGTGTCCATTGAAAACTCACACCAACCTACAGCAGCAGCAGCAGCATACTGAAATAACTTAATACAACTCACAGAGTTGTCCAGACTTAAAGGAACAGTCTTGTCGTATTCAATATTTTTCTTATATTCAAGAAATAAAAACATGAATCAGTTAAATTGACCAAAGAGCCGGACGTTTATCAGTGTTAAACTTTTTAAAACACTTTTTTTGGAGCCACTATTTTCAGGGCACCAAATGTGTATTCAACCAACCTTCTTACTCATGTTTGACTGACTTCTTTAAAAGCGTTTTAAGGGGTTGAAAGTTCTTAAATATGATAAATTAATAATACTCTTTGAAATTAAGAAAAATAAAGAATAAGACTGGACTTATCCATTAAATCTTTTATCACATTGTTTACACGTAGCCAAGAGTCTCCACACTAATCCAGTCTAAGGCCCATCTGAAATATTAGCAAAGTCCCAGATGAAGGTCCCCTCGTCCGCCTGATCATAATAGTCCTCTTATTTCTCGTTTTTAAGCGTCCCCAGTCAATCAGTTTCTATGTAACAATAGATTCTCCACAGAGATGTTTCAGGCATCATGTGGCAGTCAGTGAAAGAGCCTAAAGCCGAGGGGTTTGATTGGATGAACGGAATTAGAGCTCCAGTCCAGTTGAGAGTTGATTGGCTTGGAAGCGTCTCGGCTCCTGGAGGAAAGCTGCTCCATCCAGCCGGGTGGGAGTTGTACAAAAAGGAGGGGACAGTTGCCTTATTGGTGGAGACCAAATTCGATCATGTTTGACGAACTACGTCAAAACTCCGTCAGGCTGTCATGCGTCAGGCTCCTTTGTGTCCTGGAAATCATGTGTCAGCGTTTGTTTTTGGTCAACAACACGCGAATACAACCAGAAGCAGATTGATCCTTGGTTGTCCTTAATTTGAGGGCGAAGCATCATCTGACTATGATATTCTCTGGTTCGAGTCTAAATAAGGAGCATGGTGGAAGCAGATTCTACCCTTTACTTTGACCCACATTCACACTCAAACACAACCAACACGGTGCCAACAAACGATCCCATTCTGCCCTTCCTCATCCTGACAATGGCTGGCGGGTGTGGGGTGTCAAATCTAATGAAACAGCCAGGGAACAACAGCTGAGTGTGAGTGGATACGGAGGGACTGGAGGGAGGGGGGTTGAGTCAAGACACAAGTGTCCTTGTGAAAGCAAAAGCCAGACCAGAGAGAAAGAGAGAGAGAGAGAGAGAGAGAGAGAGAGGCACTGACCACAACAACGAGCCCAAAATGGCTGCCAGTCAAAGTCACAGAAAAAGAGGCATGAATCACTGCTTTCGCTCCTCTCCCCTTGAATGGGGTGAGCTCATGCGAGGTCCCACAGGCAGACGTCGAGGCAGGCTTGACTTGGATAAACCCGGCTGAGCTGGAAGAGGCAGCAGAGCTCTGGGTCTCTGAGGCCTCCGGATTCTCAGAGCAGGATTTAGAGGCTCAGTCAAAAACTGTGCAAGAAGTGTGGGGCCCGATCTTACAGGGTCCTAAACCGTTTATGAATTTCCTCACGTTTCCTACTTTTTAAGTGGGTGGCAGGATTTGAACTGGATTACAGAAGGAGGAGATGTGACCAGAAGCTGTTTGTTTGCTCCTGTGTGTAAAGGTCAGAACCTTTGGGAAGTTTGGTTGAATCTGATGTGCAACAAGAGATGAGGAATTGAGGAAGGGAAGTGGGGCACCAAAACTTCCTCAAGCAAAACATATTGGTAGTACGCATAGACTGTAGATACTATGGACAACTTGGTTCCAGCACTTGCGCAGTAGCATTGTATAGCATTGTATGCATTCGGCGGGAGAGTCGCCATGATGACGCTCGGCTCAAACAGTGTATCCCCCAGTTGATCTACGCAATCTTCTGAGCTGCACAGAAAAAAAGATGACTTGAGCACAAACCAGTACAACTACATGTCAACATCGCAACCAGGGGGGAAAAATTTATGTTCTGTGTAATAAATTTCTTAAGTTTGTCCACATCCCCATAAGCTTTGCTGGCGGAGGCAGGATTTATGACCTATACTGCAGCCAGTCACTAGAGGGTGCTGTTCTAGGAGTGGCTTCACCCAGCGAGAAGGCAGATGGTGTCCATTCTATATACAGTCTATGGTAGTAGGTCAGACAGCTAGCTAGCATAGAGCATTTGAGGTTGTACTGGTAATGGTGACTAGATATTCGTGCTGTACGACTTTTTTGCTGTTTAGTGAAAATATGGCAGGAAATGAGTCTGTTTTTGGCTAAACTTGAGCTAACACGGCAAAACAAGGCAGGGTCATTGGCAGGAATTCATTTTCAGGGTTCACAAGTCAAAAAGGTTTGGAGTTTTAGTCACTAATCAGAGATATTTACTCAGATCTGCTTCCTAAAATCTATATATGTTCAGTTTTTCAGTGGAAACTCTAAGGCGCATCTGTTACAAACACAAACACAGAAGCGGAAATAGAGATTAAAGGCACTCAGGCACAGATGCCAACAACTCAGTTCAGCACAATGCAGGAGTTTGAGGAGGGATAAGAGAGGAAACAAAGCCTCTCGTCATCGATGACGGTATGCAGGTGACCGATGAGAAAGTGGGGCAAATTCATTAACCACAACAGCGTTCACCTGCCATTCCTGCGGGGATATCTCCAGAGCTGCGCACGTGCATCAAACAATGCGGTATTCACTGCAGAGAATAAAGTGCACACAACAAGGTATTTAAACTTGAGTATGTGTGTGTGTGAGTTTACAGTCCGGCTGACCTGGATAAGCTACTGGAGCTCTGCAGGGCTGCCGAGTGGACTAGAAGGGGGCAGAGGTTGGGAGAGGGGAGGGGCAGCAGTAATCGGCTAATCTCATTAATACCCCGACTGTGGGTGCCCTGTCAACAAGACGCAGGGAACAAAGGCAGGAGTAAACAGCTGATGACCCTGGCTGCTGTCCACTGCGCAACAATGCCTACACACACACACACATGCCCGTGCATACACTCACACAAAAAAACATGTCAATCTCAGATCCGTGTTCTGCTTCCACCAGGAAACTCTCCAGAGATTAGATAAAATAGAAACAGTCTGCTGGCAGGTTCGAGCGAGTCGAGATGAAAAAACAGCAACTGTCCCCTCAGGCGAGACGACCCACAAAAGGCTCCACAAAACACTGCCTTAGTGATCACACAGCACACAGCAGGACCGACGGGACCTTACATGGACCTCCTCAGCTGTTCCCATCAGTCTGAGTCACTTCTCTTTGCTGGCACACACAGGGCTTAGCCAGCAGTGGATGTCAAGATGCCTCCGGTGGGATTATACTGTCGGTGCCAGGCAGAATAAAAACACGGAGAAATCCTTGATGGGTCTTTACGATGGTATCTTGATCTGTTTTTGATACATGATTGATTGGGAGCAAGGATGCTTGGATTAGCAGATCTTTAGGGGGCAGCTGGGATGACCAGGGCAAGACCCAGGGGGTCAGAGGGGACAGGTGGGCCAAATGGGTCCCCAAGTTGAGTAAACTCAGGTGGGAATTCCAAGGAAAGAAACCCACTCTGAACCTTTGTTAGCCAATTATCAGAGAGGGGGCTATTTTGAGGATGGGCGGGACATTAGAAGAGTAAATAACTCTGACAGGACGGGCCTTTTTTTCTCCTTCAGAACATCAGAAGAAGAAAAGAGGATGGGGAATCTGTACGAGACAAATATCTGTGTCATGTGCAGGTGAAAGTACAAAAAGGCATGCGGTCAGCAGAGATCAGTGCCCAAACTCTCATCGATCCAGCACCCGACTATAGTCCTGAGGGCCGCAGCCGCCTTCACTCTTCAGTTCAGCGAATACTTGTGTGAAAAAGTGTGGATCTGCGTTGATTCGCAGCATCTTGGCGCTGGTGGCATCGATGATAGCAAGGCAACGGTCCCAGAAGGCCTCCTTACCCGCCTCGACCAGGAAGGGCTTGAGCGGGTATGAGATCTCGTTGCCCATGTAGGAGTAGGACAGGTAGAGGCAGGTGAGCAAGATGGCCTGCAGCTCGTGCTCTGATGCCACCACGTCGCCGTCCACTACGTCTCTGCACAGCATGTACACAAAGACCACGTTGGCTGGCGTGACGAAGGCCTGGTCCTGCCAGCCTTGCAGCAGCAGCGAGCGGTCCACAGCCCGCAGCCAGAGCACCGGATCGGCGGGAGACAGGTGCTTGAGGCGGTAGCAGCGACAGCACAGGAACTCACCCAGGCAGCGCAGGAGCTCGCTGGTGGAAGCCTGGACGATGACCCGCTTTGGCGAAGATGTAACGGTGCCCTGTGGGATTTTCTTCGCAGAGGAAAGCTGCTGGGACTTGCTGTAGCCAAATCCGTGACCCTGACCCAGCCCGATTCCGTAGCCGAGCCCCATACCCAGACCTGCTGGGCCCTCGTAGCTGGACAGGTTGGCACATGACAGCGACTTCTTCACATTCTCACGGTTGAGATGCAATAGAGGGTCCTTCTGGTAGATGTTGATGTTGTTGTTGTTGTTCAGAGGGTCCCCAAAGGTCACAGAGCATTTCTTTGAGTTGCTCTTCTTCTTCGTGGAGGCCACCAGTCGCTTCCACGTGAGCGCCGGTAGGAAGATGGACTGGCCCCTCTTCAGCCCGCGGTCTTTCTGGCTGTTGAGGGAGCGGCTGCTGAAGCTCGGGTAGTGGCTGAGCGAGCCCGGCCGGTTGTCATAGTAGCCTGATTTCCTTGAGCCCGGAGACAAGGATAGGACGGTGCCCATGGTGAGTCAGAGCTCTGGTGATCGCTCTGGAGAAAGAGTCTGAGGAGAAGCTGTCTTTTATTTCTCACAATCCAGGAGATGTGAACTCTAAAGAAGAGACGAGCAGTACGGACATGACAGGGTGAGCACAGTTTTAGTGACTGTGGCTGAAGAGACCTGCAATAAAAGAGAGAGGATTTTGAGAAACGGGGATCACACTTTACACACTCACTAAAACAGCGACTTGTGAAGATTAACCTCTTCAACCCCTGCTGCCAACAGTATCTAAAAGCCTAATTTACTTCATATTTTAACGCCAGAAAACGAACAGATTGAAGATTCAGGAGACTACTGGAATTTCTGGCAGTAGTCAGTATTTGTAGACCCGAAAACATAATCTTTTGTGTTGATTTATTCCTGTTTTAGCTGCAAAATCAAGATGATGGACTAGTTTATTCAGAATATTTATGTTAAGCACTGGTAGCCCTATTCCATCACTGCTTTGTGCCTGTAAATGTTACACCCTCCTTTTAAGAAATGTTAAAATGCTACCAATAATGCAAACCAGAAAATTGAGATGTAAATCATCTAATCCAGATTTCTGATTACTGTTTGTTAGTACAGAACAATGTGGCTGAGATTATGAGAAGTTTTAACCACACATAGATGATTACAAACCTAGATAATCTTGTGGTTGTGTAGATAAGGACAGGAATGATCATGTTTCTCAGTAAATGTCTCATGAACTGGAAACTAAAGAGGAGTTACAGGCGTTCAGTGTGGAGTAAAACAATTTGTTCTGACCTGTAAAGAGAATAATAATCCGTGTAAATCTAGATTAGAAAGGGTTAATCATCTGATTCAATCAATAATCTCCTCTTGTGTAAAACTTGTGAAGATTCCTGGATTTAAAACTATTAAAGGGACTTCTATCTTTATCAGAATGACCAAACCATGAACCTGGATTTCCTAAACTGTAGTGTAGATAAACACAGAAATCCGACCAAGTCTAAGATGATAAGACTGTTTTAACGAGATAAAGACAATAACTTTACATTCAGTCTTAATCTGGGTGCTCACCTGTGTGCAAAGTGATATTCAGGAGGCAGTTTTCCAGGGTGCAAAGAGATAAAGTGCAAAAAAAAGCGTCTTTCTGCAGCCAGAGCCGTGAACTGTGCGCAGTTTGGGGTCTCACAGAAGACTCAGAGGACAGTGTCTCTCGGAAAGGTTTTTACCCACTCCTCAAAGATGCAGGCTGGATGCAGGTGTCATCCTCCGCTGTCCCTCAAACCCAGCCCGGAGTGGAGAGGTCTGCCTCTATCAGATCAAATCTCTCTTTGTTTGTGTCTCCATGTCCGGAATACAAACTTTCACACAGTCTGAGTCCTTTCAATACATTCCATCTCTCAGCTACGAGCGGAAAAAACAAACTCTCTCTCTCCCGGGTCCGTGTCCTGGTCTCCGGTGCAGCTGAGAGTCCACGCGCTGACCGGAGCTCGGTCCCTGCAGTCCGACCTCTGCACGCGCTCCTCACTCACTGAGAGCTGAGCAGCCTGTGAGCGCACAGACAGCCTCTCTCATCATACACACACACGCTTACACACTCACCGCCCCCATGCCACACAGACTCCTCCTCGTGGGGCTCAGCTGCAGCCTGACACACAAACGGACACACACACTTTGGCACAGTATGTAGTCTTTAATAAACGTATAGTGTGTAAATTTGAAATAGGTGATTGAATAAGATAAATAAAACTTAATCTTTGAAAGCAACAGAAACTAAAACTGTTACTGTACCTCGTGAACTTCAGCATCACGGGTCAAAAAGTTACTTAAAATTATGTTTTTGAGGTATAACATTATGTATATCCAAAGCTGTGGTGGCCCTGATTGTCAATTGCACAAACAAAACTGCACCAAAAATAAATAAATAAATAAATATTTTTTTAAAAATCACACACTGAGAAAGTATTTAATGGGCTTAAAGAAAAAAACAATAGATATTTCAAAATGCAAAAAAATATTTTTTTGCAAAATAAAAAAAAATGTACACACAAAAACATACAAAATTGGAAAATGTTTGATTTATTAAATTTAACAATTTTTTTTTCAGTTTTTTTTTTTATCCAGTGAATCTTTGAATGAAATAATAAAATCATTAAAAAAAAATCACAAAATTCCCCAAATTTCCAAAATTTTAAAAATATAATATTTTATCAGGTAAAAAATATTTTTTCACAACATGAAACCAAGATCCAAAAATAAACTTATTTATATTGTGTCAAAGATTTATTCACAAAATGTAAAAAATATTTATTGAAATTAAAAAAACTCATGTTTTGATGGACAAAAATGAATTTCAAATTTAACTTGGCATCGATTTTATCATTTATTTATTTATTTATTTATTTTTAATTGTCTTTATGGAGCTGAGTGTTGTGAAACTTGTGAAATCTTGAAATCACTCTGGAAACATTCAGGCAGTCACTGTAAAGGTGCTTAAACGGGTTTAATGAGATCACATTTCTTGGCACTGGATAAAAAAAAAAAAACTGAGTTCTGCACCATCTGAAGTCTGTCGTGGGGTGTTGATTAAAAGATGTCAAATTGTTTGTGTCTCTAAAAGTTAAAAAGGTAGATTCTCTCTAAGATGATAAAAGCATGTCTGTAAAAGTGTTGTGGTGTGTCTCTCCAAGTTCAGAATTTCTGTCAAACCAGACGCCAAGTTTCCTCCAGAGAGTCACTCTCATTAACCGAGGAAGATTTGTGTGATGTAAATCAAAAGCTCCAAACACTCGTATGAAAAGTAAACAAGACATTATGCAAAAATGTCTCATTTAAGTACTGCATATATTACATTTCTGAGGCGCTGCATGCATCACTTAAAAGTTGCAGCTGCTACAGGAGCTTATACTAAAGATGTTAAACTGTCGGCCTGAAAGTGAATGAGGATAAATGTAAAGTTATTTATATCTTAGAAGAAACTTCAGTCGTCAGGTAAACACAGTAAAAAGTGATCTCTTAGATACAGTGGTAAAGGAGTCCTGGTAGTACTCGTGTGTCGTAAAAGTGCATTTGCAGCAGTTGTACTTCTAGATTGAGCAGAAATCTTTTTTGTCACTTCTGCACAAAGTTTCCGCTCCCTGCTGAAGAATGAGTTTGTCTAATAAACTCTGTCAGCTCCATAAAGTGCAAATGGTGCAGTATGCGTGCAGGCCAATAAAGACATAATGACTTGACAGAAGATCTACAATAGTCCCTGAGAAGCCTGGAAATATAAATGTCAGACACAGGGAGGTGGAATAATATCGGTTCATATGGATTTATAGGAACATTAAGGGGCAGGTGTTACATTCAGCATCTTCAACTTCTTCTGAGACTCTCAGCTTCTCATTTACCTCCCTGAGATCCTCGTTACATGGTCGCTGTTGGCGTGTTGTACCTGTAAGGTAAACTTAGGACCATGTTTTGAGTTTCATCTGCCTACTCAAACCACAAAACCTGCGTACTCCCGCGGAGGCCACTAAAGTTTTATGGATCAAATCGAATTGAAAAGGGTGTATCAGCTGGAGCTGAAATGAGAGCGAGTATGTCTCACCTGGGAGGGTTTTACAGCAGGTTAGAGTGGGTAAGCCCCCCTCACGTGTCCGCAGGTCTGCTCCTATTATGCAACTATCTTTATGAGTCCATCTTGTATAGTGGGTTGAGTGTAAGAGGATTGGAAACATTGATTAGAGGGACACCGATAGAATTTCAAAGAGGACACCTCTGCTTTTGTTGTGCGGCAGCATCAATGTGCACCGCAGCCTGAGGGTCTCTGCGCAAACCAAACCAACAACATGGACGGTTACGAAGTCTCTATATTTTGGAAACAAAATCAACTGACTTACTGAAGACCCTTTATATGTGAGATAAACTATCTTGTTGTTTAATGAGGCTTTGAATTAGATACCACTGACTGTGTATGAGGTTGTATGGACCTCATGACGCAACGCTAAAGTGAGACCAAAATATATAACAATTCCTAAAACATACCTACTTTATAAAAGGCCTGAATAATATAGGATGACCATACGTCCTCTTTTACCCGGACATGTCCTCTTTTTTGGGGGATGTCCGGGCTTGTCCGGATTTGTCCGGGGAAGTTTTTAAGAATCCTTTAAATGTTCGCAGTATTACTTAGTTAGAACATCTTAAAATGAACTTTGTGTGACTCCGTGACTCCGCCCCTGCGTAGTTGTGTCCTCTTTTTGGGAAGTCAGAATATGGTCACCCTGAATAATGGTATTTTTTGCATTTGCCAAGCTGAATAAACAGAGTTGTTTCTAGGTGGACTTGTTTGCTCTTTATATTTCTTGTTTTGAGAATTACTTTAGATCAGATATATTTCTCTGAATGCATGCACTTCACCCCAGCAACCTGAAAAAATATCCAAAACAAAATATCAGGATGAACTTTCTCCCTTTGTTGTTGAAATGCTGTCTAATTTTCATGTCCAGCTGATCAAATCCAAGCTCTTTAACTCTCAGCTTCTCCTGCAAAGATCTCCTTTTAAACAGACTATTTTTCCAGGACTCAACCCAACTTTTCTTTCTGCAATTTCTCTCTGAGTGACTCCAGCCTTTGACCTTTATTCTCAGGTTCAAACTCAGTCCCTATTCAATGCAAAGGGACTTAGCTAGTGCTGCATGCCTCTCTTCATGTCTCAGTTAACAGGACAAAGCTCTTTTACTGCAATTTAGCTGGTGGCGTATGAATAGGTAGTGAAGTAGCTCCTATATTTTAAATTGAAAGAGAAACTGTTGTGCATGTCAACTCATTATCTATAGTACAACTAATCATACTTCAGGGACAAGCAATAGTCTTTGCAGTAAACTTAATGCACATAAACTCTGTTTTCAGTGCTTGAAGTTAAATTTTATCCAAATAAGCTTGATTATATTCAGTAGCTTTGACTTTCTGCACCTCTTTAACAATCAACTTAACAAGGTCGTTTTATACTTCACTTCTGTTAGTTGTATTAACACCTTGTAAGTAGGTCTTCACACCTTGACTCTCAAAAATCACTGAAAATGAGCTTAACAAAATAATAAAAATAGTGTAGCTTAAGACTTTAAAAACATACTGACCAGTTAGTTAAACTTATTAGTTGTGCTTCGAAGTGGTTTATCAGTCACATCTAATATTATTTTAGTTAATAAACAACTCTCAACATCAGTTCTAAGCAGCACATCTCTTTCAGAGCGTATCATGAAAGACAGCAATGGAAAAAAACAATATCAAAGCGCCTCTCAGGAGGTCTTTGTCGTCAGGAGCTCTGTGGTTGAAAGCACTCATCTGATTGATCATGAATCAGTTTATAACCTGGCAGAAAATATCTAAAAGCCTGTTTGGCAGCATCTCAAACACACTGTCACCCTCACAGCTGTCCATTCCTCCCCTGACTGACTCATCATCCAGAAAAAACAGGAGTCTTAATTGGACACAAACTCTGACAACTACTCCAGTGGACGCAGAGCTCCTTAATGCAAACAACTTTATACTCCATTTAATGACACAGCTGTTAGACTTAATAGAAAGATATGCCAATAGATTTGATTACTTGTACCCCAACAGACAGCGTGAATGCGAACAGGGAATATGGTTAGACTGTTATGGACAATGACGGCGCTGTAGTGTGGTGGGTAACACAAATGTCCAACAATAGACAGGTCTTGGATTCAAATCCAAGCACTGACCCACTCATTTAAAACCAGTATGACCTGGGTGCTACCACAGAGGTCTGAACTGTAAACTTTTGTATCAACATAATGTAATAGAAAATGGATGAAATTACACGAGCAAGTCCTGCAAAAATACCTACCAAAAATGTGGAAAGAGGAGCTTTCCTTACCTGTAGCTCAAGTTGTGCTTTTGAACAATGAAACAGTGAATAGAAACACATTTGTTAAGCAGTTTTAAACTTTTCTGATCAGGAAATTAAAGTAAATAGCACCTACAAAATCAATCAACTGTAATGCTTCACGGTGAAGACTACTGGATCTCATTGAATTGATCCTGGGTTCAAATCAAGGACTGAGGGTTTTCATGGTACTTTATGTAAAGCAGAAATAATAACATTGTTCTCACCTCAATCCAAAGCAGGGACTTTTTAAACTTTCCTAGTTAAAAAAAATGAAAGTAAAAAGCACCAAATAATCCATAACTGCCGGGTAAGGATGCTGGCTCTAAATCAAAGGATCCTGGTTTCAAATACTGGACAGACTCATTTCATGGTACTTCTTGCAAGTCAAGAAATAAACATTTATACTAGCATCTATGTTTAGCTGTGTTTTTAATTATCATAATCAGACAAAATTAAGTATCTAGAACCTGTAATTTAGAATTAGCATGGTCAAATGGTCAAATGAAAAGTCCAAAAAAGAGGAGTCAATGAAATGGCACTGGGTTCGATTCCAGTTCAAGGGGAGACAAAGGATAAGGAAGGGACAAGAGAAGGTTGAAAGGTTAATAAGGAGAAGAAAGTATGGAGATTTAGGAAAGGAGGAACAGAAAATGTAAAAAGCAGGTAGGAAAAAGAACCAGTGAAAACAGTCCCAGGGTAGAGAGGGGATCAGTTTAACAGTGTGATTCATTCAGATCTGACCCTGGATCAGGGGCGTCATTCAGCATAAAGACCAGATATAGTCAAACAGCCTAAAATGAGGAATTAAAACCTTTTGTATAAACTCATAACTTGAAGATCAACACATCTTGAGCACATATCACAAAGGAGTCAAACTCTTCAAGAATAGTAAACAAAGTTTTTGGCTTAATATTCAGAGAGAATGATAATAACATTCTGCTGTCAGTACTTGAGAATTTTGTAAAATGCAAATTATGTTGTGAGTGCAGATTACTCATCCTGTATCCAAATATTTAAAGCATCTCACATATTTAATCTGGGATGAAACGCAGGATGACCAGTTTAATCTGAGTCATCAAAATGCTCACAAAACAACCCAGAGCTGAATAAACCCGTCTTTGTCTTCTCCTCTATTTAGGTTTTATACGTCAGTGTGAGCTGGCTGATTGGCTGGGCGGGTTTGTATAGGGGAGATCTCCTCATTCACACACACACACACACACACACACACACACACACACACACACACACACACACACACACACACACACACACACACACACACACACACGCTCGTACTATTCCTTCCCAGCCCTCGTTTTCTCTGCTGTTCTTCCCTCTCGCTCCCTCGGACAGCTGCAGGACTCTCAGCATCTCTTGCGCAGCTGACCCGGATGCACTGACGGCTATGAAAAGAGCTGTTGTTGTCCACTGATGACCCCCCTCCCCTCCCTGCACACACACACATAAAACACGCACATGCACCTCTCCACTTTACAGCAGCAGACATGAGGCAGGAAACATGAGCACGGACCTGGGATGGTTTTTATTGTCATCTTAATCCCTATTTTGACATTTTAATTTTTAAATGCTGGGATTAAATGAGGATAAACAGCACAACACTTTATGTAATCACTTGTTCCTCTGTTTTAAATTTATCTTTTCCAGTCAGAGACTCAGAGATGTCAGCTTTCACCACAGGAAGTTTACCTTTTGTTTTGTTTACAGATTACCTGGTTTCAACCTAATTTTGGGTCAGAAATCTCTTTTGAGTGATTTCGTCGTTGTTTGACCTACTTGAATTATGCAACGGGGATGTTCTGTCATGTCCCACATTTTGCTGCAGCAGCAGAAGATGAAGAAGAAGAAGAAGACTGCTGCAGTCGATAAAACAAATTGTTTTTCCAAACCGGAGCTTCTGTTACAAATGAGGCCCAGCAGCAGATTTTTTTTTCCTGTCATCACAGACACTTTCATCCAGATCCAAACTCACTGTGGATCCGTCTTGCCTTTCTGTCACACACCCACTGATCTTGTTTGCTTTCTTTGAAACAGAGCAGCATGAATGCAGTGACATGAAACCTAAAAATGAGTTTTGTGCAAAAGCCGCAGCAGCAGAGCCACAGTTTCCTCTCTCAGTTCATAATTAGATCTTATAGCATATCTGCGTGTGTGATGGTAAACATAAAACAGCTGAAGTTGTTTTTGAATGAAGGACAGGTGACTTGATCAGACAAGAAGAGGCTGATAAATAATCTACGAACACTATGAATTGGCGCAGTTAAATGCTTGATTTTGATTGGTCAAGACCTCATTACCCTTCACAGCAGAATCAGATGCAGTAAAAGAGGAGATAAAAAATAGATAAGTATAAATATAGAGAGGGTGTCAGAGTCTCTGAGGGAGGAGTTAAAAAGTCTGATGACCGAGGAGCCTTCTGCTGATGGTGCTCTTCTGCAGGACCACCTCTCTGTGGAGAGGGTGAGAGACATTGTCCAGTATGGAGTGGAGCTCGGACAGCATCCTCCTCTCTGAACCGGCCAGCAGGGAGTCCAGCTCCACCCCCACAACATCACTGGCCAACGAAGAAGATGGTACTGGCCACAACAGACTCATAAAAAAATCCTCAGCATCGTCCTGCAGATGTTGAAGGACCTCAGCCTCCTCAGAAAATAGAGACGGCTTTGACCCTTCCTGTAGACGGCCCCAGTATTCCTGGTCCAGGCCAGTTTAATTGTTTAAGTACACCCCTAGGTACCTGTACTCCGCCACAGTGTGCAGTTGAAACAGGGGTCACGGGTGTTTTGTTCCTCCTCAGATCCACTATCAGCTCCTTAGTTTTTGTCACATTGAGCTGCAGGTGGTTCAGCTCACACCACGTGACAAAGTTGCCCACCACAACTTTGTCAAGCAAACACCTCAAATCTAATCAATCTGATTGAATGAGTCTGAATCAGATTGTGGCATAAACACTGTTTTAAATCTCATGCTGGTCTTTAGAGTCAGTAATCAAAGTTACAGGGACACAAATATGAGAACAGCAGGAGAATCTGATTAGGCCCAATCATTTCTGGTTGGGAAAAGTGGAGCAACATCCGACTGAATGACGACAGCGTCAACAAAAATAGTCATCCAAAAAAAGCGGCCTAAAGCGGGAAATAATCTGGCAAATTTTCAAACTTCTGTGATTTATTATGATCAGTCGAGTCGATTTATCCTGCAACGAGGCGAATATGAATCTGTAGCCACATGAGTGTCACCATCCAGGGGATTGCTTTGATTGCAGACAATCTTCTATAATAAGCAGACATACTTAAGGTTGGAGGGATCCTATTAAAAGCTCTTCAAAGAGGGAAAACAGAGGCAAAAAGAAAATTGAGTGGAAGTAATCGCTTAGAAATATGAGAGGGAGAAATATCAGGAGAGGCTTCACAGAAAAAGGTTGAGTGAGTGTAAGGAAAAGGACAAAAGGAGAAAAAGTGAGGACAGACGATAACTATGTCTGCAGAATTAGGACGCAGACAGGCAGAGAGGGACAACAAGCTCAGCTGTGGGCTACTGCTGCTGGAGTCAGACAGGTTCACCTGACACATGACACATCTGCCAGTCTGACTTACCCAGACTCTCTAATCTGCCTCACCCAGACCTGAATGGAGCGGTAAACAACACTGAGAGAGAAGACAACAGCATACACACCACAGGGGGATTACAGGATGTTTCAGGACAGTTTCAGGCCGATAAATGATCAATTATGACCTGGAGATATAAAAACAGCTAGTTTTTGTTTGATAGAGCGACTTTATTTCAATCAGTAATCAAGTTTAAGTTGAGGGCAATAGCTAATCATAATATATGAATGTAAAAAATCTAAATACGTCACATGAACTGATAAAAAGGAAGGCTTTAATAGGCTGCTTGAATTAATGAGTCTATAATAAGAGCTTACACTGTTCTGCTTTTGTGACAATGCTGTCATCTAGTGGACAAATAAAGACGATGCTCTTGCTTGGGATTTGTCAGGAGGAGAAGTGGAAATTTTAATATAATAGACGTTAAAATGTAAAAATATGTTGTCATATTATGTTGAGTGTTATCCGTATTTTTTAAAAGGTCAATTAATTTTATTCTGGATACGTTTTGGTTTATTTCTTGATAATATTTAGTATAATAACTTGACTGTCTATAAGGTGTTTGCATGGTGGTCAACAAACCAGCTTATTTTTTTCCCTCTTTTTATTTCTTCCCCTTACTTCTTATTTCTCCTTTTTTCTTTAATAGAAAAACAAAACAACAAAAAACAAAATGGCGTTTATTTTCGAATCGCGTAACGTCATCTTAAAATGGGCGTGGTCTGTGACGCACTTTTGAATTTCGGCTTTAACGGCTACACACAAACGTCGAACGGTATTGAAGTAACTTTTGTTTCAGTTTTTTTTTCACAACAATTCAAAAATATCCAAGCTAGAGAGAGATATCAGTGAAGTTCCGTTGTGAAATATAATAAAGCGGATGTTTGTGCTCGCAGGAGGTGGAGCAAAGCGCCGATAGCTAACAGGTAAGCTAAATCGCGCGATAACCGTTGCTAGAGTGTTTGTTTACATTGTCGAGCTAGTACTTTCGGTGACTCTGGTATTTGGAGTTCATACACTTTTTGTTTAATAGGCCACATGGATGCAAATTAGTGGTAGCTGGGTCTTATATTGTTAGATAGAGTGCAGCAGCATAATTGTAGAGCTGAAGTGACTCAGATACAGAACCTTAACATCCATGTTTGAAACACAAAGACTTAACCAGAGGGAGTTAAAACTACAACAACATTAAATCAACCATTTGTTTTATATGTGCTAAACTCTGGTGGTATATTACAGTTTTCCTCAGTCGCTTTGGTGCATATCTCACATCACTATTAACATTTACACAACAGTTGAGTTGGTGCATTTCTCAGAACAATGAGTACAAACCTCAAAACGTAGTGGATAGCCTGCAAAAGCGCGTCACTTGCTCAAAATGAATAGTTGATTCCTCAAAAGCAAGTATTCCTGTCAGTGGAAGTGTCTGTGTCATCAAAATAATAAGTCCAGACATCATTGTTTATGAACAAGACAGTCAAATGGCAGAGATTGGAAAATGTGGAGTCACCAAGTCATTTCCGTGCCATGTATCTGTTCTGCTCAGTTACTGAACCAGGTGCCTTCTGCCTTCACTAATGAGCTCACCCTCCTGGCTGCTCATTGGAAGCAGCTGGTTCAGTGACAGAGCAGAGCAAATACATGGCATGGAGATGACTTGGTGACTCCACAATTCCCATCTCTGTCAAATGGCTTTGTCATGTTTTCATTATGACACTTTACTCTGTTTTCCAATGCAAAAAAAGTCAGATCTTGGTACCTGAAGATGCTCAAGACAGCACTATACACTACCTGTAGAGCCATTTGAAAACTACAGTAAAGAATAAGAAGAACTTTATTAATCACCGAGGGGAAATTCAATTGTCTGTTGTCTCACATAATATGTCTCTAAAAGTTATCTATTATTTACATAAGAGTTACAAAGTCTGATGGCTGTTGGTACAAAAGACCTTCTGGATCTTTCTGTCCTGCAGCGAAGAGAGAGGAGCCGTCCACCACCATTGGCCCTTTGGTCCATCAAAGTGTTGTGAAGTGGGTGATCCATGTTCTTTAGAATAGTTAGATCTCTCCACCACATCCTCCACTGAGTCCAGCTTGAATCCAACCACAGAGCCAGCCTTTTTCACCAGTTTGTTAAGACGTCTTGAATCTTTGTGTTTGATGCTTCCTGAACAGAACACTGTAGACACTACAGACTGATAAAACCTCTGCAGTTATGTGAGAAATGCACCAAAGCTGAGAAAAACTGTAATAGCAGATTGTTGTTGACATCTTCCCCCAGTAGAGGGCACTACATGCATGTGCTGAGCCTCTCTCTTGGCTGCCTGCCTTTGCTTCTCTGGAAATTGACTGATGTTAAACCTTTGGGTTCCAGTTTAGTTTGGATCTAACCTGTTTTGGCAGCGTGCTTAATGCTTTTTATAGTAGCACAGGGCTTGGCAGCAGCAGAGAAAACCCAGTAACTGTCTGTCCCACATTAAGTGCAGGCCTATCATTACTGTCTGCGCTGCTTTTAACAACTCTGATGAGCTGGTTGCACATATACCATCGCTCACAGCTATACTGTGTATTCATATATATATACAATCCCATAAAACCTTCAGATGCTCTTGTCTGTGAATGATTGGAGTGTGTTGAAAAGATGTTGAAATGAATTGAGAAGAGAATTGATCAGGTTCTTTGGTCCGATCTTCACAGAAAAACCAAAATTTCCAATTCAAATCGTCCATTTTGATCCCGGCTAAACTTCTTACACATCCCTCCTGTTTGCTTCCTGTATGGTCGTGTGTTGACCAACCTGTCTGTCTCTGCAGGGTCAAACTTGTTAACCTCTCCATTGAAGGAAACATCATCAGGAGGGGGATGATGTGCAGTTTGCTACACATTGTAAGGCACACAAACAGACGCCCTGATCCCACAGGCAGAACGTAGCTTTCACCACCGAGCAAACATTTGATCCGATGGTGGATCATCGCACTAACCCTCATCCCCCATTAGGCCGCCATGTTTCACTCCATTGCTTGTTCTTTATGGTGTACAGACAGAAAAGATGCACCAGAGGAAAGATTTATGCGCTGCAGTTGACCTCATGCTGGGGAGTTTAGTGTAGAAATTGAGACGTAAGCTGTGAATTTAGTGTGACAGGGTTTAGAAGAGCAGAAAAGGGAAGCCTTCTGTCTCATGTTCAGGGACAAGCGGACAACTTATTTGTTGTTACAGGGCTGCTCGTGGTGTTAACCCATGACCCCTCTGCCCTCTGACCTGTGGAACGACAGCTCCATCCACGCGTCAGGGAGAAGAGCTGTCACAACGGAAACACCCAGAACATGGGCAGGGCTGACGGGGAGACAGGGACAATTACATATTTGGAGAGAGCAGGATCAAACAGACCGCGCAGCTTAAGAGTGTCAGGCCACCGGATGCAGAGTGTGTCTGCAGGAAAAGTCTGGATTAAGAGTTCAACTCTGCTAAAGTGATGAGAGCAGTTAGTGGACTGCATGGCATGTATACATCTGTAAAATCTTAGGGATTGATTTGCATTTTTTTCCTGATGAAAGCGGCTTTTGAATTAATATAATTAGTCTGATTTTTGCAGAAACAGATGTTGATGTTGACGCTTGATTAAAGTCCATTAAATTAATTATATCTCATTAAAAATTCTTCTTTTAAACATCAGTATCAGCTCAAATTTTCACAATCAGTAAATCTCTAAGAGTCAAATAAAGGTTGGTTGGTTATATGCTTTGGTCCCTCTGTATCCTGGCAAACTTGGGTCCAAAATTTCCAGTGATTATTTGCAGATCAGGTTGTTAGGAAACCTGGAATGAAATGCTTTGGCATAAAAAAACAGTTTTCTATTGACTTTTTACAAACACAAGACATGGGCATGATTTGTTGAATGAGCTGCTTTGGCTTAGATTTAGTCTTTTAAAACACAAGATGCAGATGTTTGATGGGTAAAATCATGAACTGGTTGAATGAATCAAATACTTTCAAATCTCGAAATATGTCTTTTTGCAAAATCCAATCTTAAAATACCGTAGAGCACAGGTGTGCAGATGGTCGAGTGCGTTAGCACACCTCACGTATGGGGACCATGGTACCTGTGGCGGTTGCAGGTTCGAGTCCAGTCCCGACTGTGTGCTGCATGTCTTCCCCCTAACCCTCCCCTCACCCTATAATATCAATAGAAAGGCAAAATTGCCTCAAAAAATACTAAAATAAAAAAAAAATATATTCTTTAGAGCAAAGCCATGGTGTTCACTGATAACTGGAAAAGAAATGCTAACCATCAATGCATGTTAAATATAATCTGTTTTCATGCTGCAGAGAGTTGAAATCTTCTTGCATAGCTTTCTCTTGGATTTGTTTTGGGGAAACGTCACGTGTTAAAGTCTCCTTTTGAACAAGAGCGAAGACAGCAGAATGTACAGAGAACAATGTCTGACAGTCTGGAAAATATGTTGAAGCCAAAGCCTGGTGGAAAACTTCAGGGGAACATTTGGGGTTCAAGTGGTCAAGGTTCCTGCTCGTACACCGCTTGTTTATTTTATCTGGAACTCAGCAGCCATCTGATTTTGATGGCTCCCTGAATTTATCACTGTTTCTGCTGATAACCACCTTCCACTAGGGTTTAAAGGTCTGACATTTGTCTTGCATTTTTCAGGTGACAAACAGATCCACCTTACTCTTTTGAACGTCTGCGTCCAGCGCCTAAAATTCCGCTGAAGGAGCTCTAACTCTGATCCCTGGAACCTTCAGGCCATGGGCGAAGAATACAGAGGTGGGTGACTGCAAACATCAGTGCCACACATGTATCGCACAGGGTCACTTTATCTTCAAAGCCTGTCGCCTCCAACATGTGATACGACTCAGACCTCCAAAAAAGGCAGACATCTTGCATTCCTGAGTCCATTCCACAAAGTACAATAACTTCCTTGAATTCTTCGACCCTCGGCGGCGGAGCCAGGGCACATCCTGTTGTCCTCGCAGCACTTCCTGTTCATGCAGCTCAGTCGGTTGTCCCCGTTGCCATGGACACTTGAAAACACTGTACTCATGCTTAATAGGCATACTAGTGGGTTATGAAATGAAGGGTACAGAGGCAGGAGTCAATTTCCTGCCTGTGCACGATAAGTACGTTTCATGTATACAAGATAATTACAGTCGTTTAAATGTCAGTCATCTATTTTCTTTTTACGAGCTATAGTCATTGTTCGGATGCACCTTAAAGAGTTTATTGAGTACAGCTGGTTTCTTCGCTTTTTTTGAAGGTCTGTGATGTTAGAATGAATGATGTTGTTTAGTGCAGAACGGCAACAGCGCCAAGCAGCTGCAGAAATCTAAATTCAATCTGTGCATCAACAAAGAGGATGCACCAGCAGACATCTCTCTCATACTCTCTGATTAGCTGCATTATATACGTGGAGACACAACTTAGAGGTTTATAGTGAGGGTGACGTGTCCATGTTTGGGTGGCAGTAGCTCAGGAGGTAGAGCAGTCGTCCAAGAACTGGAAGGTCGGGGTTCGATTCCCCCCCTGTCCCAAATTTGTCTGTTGTGTCCTTCAGGCAAGACACTCAACCTACCTTGCTCCCAGTGTGTGTTCTCCTCTGGTTTATGAGTGTGAGTGTTGTGCAGTGGTGGTCAGAGAGGCTGTAGGTGCAAACTAGCAGCCATGTCTCCATCAGCTGTGACTACTAAGGTAGTTTACCACCACCAAGCTGTGACTGTGTGAGCGAATGAATGATGTACCCGATGTAAAGCGCTTTGACGGTCTCTGATTAAGCGCTATAAAATCTGATGCATTATTTTAAGTTCTTTAGTCCTTTATGGAGATTTTACTGTTATAAGTAAATGATAATGATAAAATCAAGTTGGCAAATGTACCTGGATGGCTGTAAATATGCCTCAGCAGGTTGCACAAGTGTAATCTATAGGTGGGACTCAAAAGATGTTCTCAGACAGGAAACAAGAACTGAAACTACAGGGAAGCTCAGTTGGTCTTATTTCCTGACAGAAAGACACGCTCAGTTTTTACAGTTTTTTTCTCTCTACCTGGCAGAGTGAACCACTCAGTCTGATGAATTCAGATCTGTTTCTTGGATCTACTTCTATAAAGCTAGTTGTCCAGTCTTTTGATGTTGCCTGCTTTACATTTATAAAAGTAGAAAGTTTCTCTCTCTCTGTTTACCTGCAGGAGAGTCAAACTGTGATGTGAAGGGTACAGAGCCGTAAGAGGGGATGAATGGCAATCTTATACTGAAAAATTGAAGAAAAAAGTTTATAAATAGGCCACAAATACACTGAAGTAGTTGTAGATAAAGCCTAGTGGGCTTGCATGGGTATAGTCTGTAACCTGGTTTATACCCCTATGTTGGTTTTACACCACAGCTACACCTTTGTGAGGAGGGGGGCACTATTTTAAAAATATAGGGGTTACCAGAAATGTTGTAAATGAGGAATATCATGTTGCAGGGCTTGTGGTCAGAGTCATATATCAGGATTATGTGCAAAATGCTGTAAGGTTAAAGGTAACGATCTCTGATTGGCTCGTGTCCTTCTGGTGTTGATGCTTATTATTCTATAATCATGATCATGAGAAAAGTGACACTCATATTAAAAATGAAACAGACACACTCTTGAGGAGGTTGCTGCAGGAGCGTTTGTACTTTTTGTGCTGGAGGGTGTTTTCACCTTCTCTTGTGGGTAAACTGAACCTCCTGTGTGATGTGGTTTCACCAGGCATGTGTGTCAGTTGCTCTTGGCAGAACTCTGGTGTTAATATGAGGCTAAGACAAAACACGCTTGTTTTTGTCTTCGCTATAGTGTCAAAGGTCACACCAGATTCACACAGATAAACTCTATGTTACCTGCGTCAGCTCAGAAGATAATTATATCTACTTTAATGTCGAAAACTGTTAATTTTTCCGTTTTTGGCCCCTTTTATTCCCAGCAGTCTGCAGCCAGCACACTAATTTGTTTCGTGTTACTGTAAATGCTGAAATCAGTTTGCTCATGAGCTCAATTAAGAATTTCTTGGAAGAAAAAAGTGCCTCCAAGAAAATCTTAATTGAGTTACAGAGCTGGAAACAATAAACTCAGCAAATACGAAGTATGTTTGACAATGTTTGTGAATATTATAAAGCCTGCACTTGCTGTATGCTGCATATTAAATTCTTGGATGAGTCCTACAGTGAGCTCAGTTTGTTTCATAACTGTAGTTTCACTGCCAGCAAGTTGTCCATTTGTCAGCTTCCAACACGAAAACCGCGGCCAAACTTTCATCCTACTCTTACAGAGAGAGAGAAGGAAACTGAGCGGAGTCTCCTGGGTCTGCTCACCCTGAGGGATGCATTCAATTCTGCTTCCTGCAAGAGTCTATACGGCAGAGACAAATCAGACCAGCAACAGGCCGTTATAAAGTCCAACTCTGATTGTTTTTTGAATTTTTTTTTAACTACTTAAAGTGTTGTCATGATGATGATAGTTTTTATCCAAAATCACGTTACCTGTGTCATTTTCAAGGTCTTTTCTTCTACAGAGCTCCAGTAGATCATTAGCAATTCGCCTCTGAGTCGTGGGTGGAGACAGTGCAGCTCTCCTCACTCCTCTTCACGCTAGCTTGTAACCTAACATTGCCGGTGTAGTAGAAGAAGCAGGTAACATAGGAGCTCTTCAGCTTTCAGACAGTAATGTCTTTGGGGACGTGATGAAAGCTAATATCATAATTAACTTTCTTATGAGCATTGCAATCCACTAACGCACACGCTTGTTCCGCGATCTTCCTCTCTACTTTTCCGAGCTCTGGGGCTCTGGGGGCGGAGCTTGGAGTTGTGATGTAGGAAATCTCACTGTGTCTGATTTGAATGCAGAAATACTCAGAAATACAATTTCACACTTATTAATCTCATGATCTGTCCCGTAACATCAGAAAAATGTCATATGAACATGTAGACAACAAGAAAAAGATGATTTTCATCGGAGTGGGTCTTTGAAAGCAGAGGAGGGATGTAACAAGCCCTCATACCCCGATGGGTGAGGATGAGCAAACTTCAGGAATGGACAGAGATAGCAGACAAAGGTGGCGGTCCATGATATCATGCATCAGGAAGGTGATACCGCCTCTCCTCTCCTCTAGCTGAGGCTGACCCGTATGCACACAGACGAAACACCACACCTCCGTCTGCTGCCTGCAAACATGACACCGATACTCATCCCCAATCTCTTCACATCTCTAAACTCTTCATTCTTACATGTTGTTTAAAATAGTCCCTAAATTCCTCCCTGAATCACCAGCTTAACTGTTAAGTTATGTCACAACGCTGCTGACTGATTCTGACGTTTGGCCGATAAAAGCCACAAAAATGATGATGAGGGTATTCGTGACTGTACAATTTCCTCATGATTCACCCCGTATCTGGTCATGCTGGGGACTTTTCACGCCTTCTGGATGGGCCGTATCAGATGGCACACCGGATGCCTGCCTCTGGACCAGAGAAGAATTATGTTTGGATATTCTTGGGGTCAGGTTGTTATCTGCAACGCCCCTACACAACCGATCCCAAACAAACATAAACAACCTTTTTTTCTGCAGCACCAAGAATGTATGCATTTTTGTTTTGTTTTAGTTCTTCTGATACCAAACCGTTGAGTAAACTTGTCTGTTTAATGACGGACCAGTATCATATTCCACTGTCTTTGGAGGTAAACTATCATGAGGGGTGATCTCTTATCTTAGATGGTGCTGAAATCTTTGATAGTCCACATCACTGGTGCTGAAAGAAGTACAGGGATCATTTCTTTGATTTGAAATCTAAATCTGAAACTATAAAATCCTCAATGAATTCTTTTTGTATTCCAGATTTATATATTTAGTCTTTTCTGCCTCTTTTGTTCGGGGCGGCTGAGGAGAGACAGGAAATGTGAGGAGAATAGAGTGGAGTAGACGTGCATCAAAGGGCCAGGCCAGCATGAAGGACCGCAGCCTTTGTATTTGTGGCACACGCTCTATTGGCTGAAATAAATCCGGCGCCCCAAATTATTAACAGTCTGAATCATTGTGAAGTATCCACATGGAAGTTGGACATTGTCGTCAGAAGATTTTCCACTGATATTTTTCAGTTGCAGCATTTAGAAAAGCTGCTATGAACCTGAACGGGATTACGTCTGAGTTTGTGCGTTTGAACATTAGACGTGTTAAAACTTCCAAAAGTTTGGGTGTCCCCGCGTTTTTTTTTTCTTAATGTGCTCCCCTCTGACTGGAGGGAGACTTTGGTTTATTGGCCCTCTGACATGATCAGTGAAATCCTCTCTAAGCCTCTACCCCTCAGCTCTGCACGCTCATCAAACTTCACTCAAATATGTTATGATCTTCTAACTGCTTTCCCCAGCAGGGCAGCATGTCAGGAATGCTGCTTAATGTCAGCGCCTGTCAGTCCGACTTAACGCGAGCCGCTCTGTAACACTTAAAGCCTGTGATGTCATGGCGTGAGAGTCGGTGTAAGAAAAACTGCCGGCACGCGATGTTATTAATAGAGCGATGTGTATGTGTACAGTATATGTGTGTGTAGTTTTAGCGGCAGACATCCCATGGGACAGATCCAGCTTATCAGAGCTCCCAAAGGTGTTTTATTAGTGGTGCAGATGTGTGGAAAGATCAACACTGATTAAGACCTTGTGACGGATTCAAGCTGTCAGTGATGGTTTTGTTTCTTTGTTTTGTAACATTATGACTTGAAATTGTAATTTCATTTGTGACAACAGAAACAAAATCAAATCAAGCTTATAAAACTTTTTTGTGACCTAAAAATAACAAATAAACCTGCTACCTGTAGGAATTTAGGCGTTTGTATTATCGAGGGATGAATTGTTCAGGGGCTCGACCTCAGCTGAACTCAGTCAGCGTGACTCTGGCTTTACACAGTCACGTAAAAGTTTATTTATAAAGCTTCTTTAAGAAGACAGCAGTTTATCTAAGTGCTGTACATGGGATAAATAAATAGATTACAATTAAAACGATAAAATAAAAACAGTGTATTAAATTACAGACAGCAAAAAAATAACAGCTACACTTCCTATGACTTGTTTGTTCTCATTTATGAAACACAAGGGAGAAAAGGTGGGTCTTTAAGGACGATGTAAGGACTATGTTCTACCAATACTGTCTCCAATGAGTGTTAAAATAGTATTTTCTTTTAACCTTGTACATCGTTGGTTTTATTTCTCAAAATTTTCTGTATTTTAAATTGTGTTTTTTATTTCATTTTCTTCTTTGTAAGGTGTCTTTGAGCACCTGTAGACTGTGATAACTGCAATTCTTCCATTTTTTCAAGGTCTAACCTTCCTCGGAAAATTTCTTAGTTTTCAATCATGAAAAATAAAAAATTCATCGCAATATGTGCTCCAACATGTTTTGTCTCTGTTAATTAAACTGATCAATCAATACATTTCTTGCCAAACTACATTGTAAATTTGATTACAAAAAAAAAAAACTTTTGAATTGGTATCTCGGCTCTGCGAGACTGAAATAGTTGGCTGTAGCACAGTACTCTCCCCAGAAGAGACAGGATTTTGAGCTGTTTCAGTTTCAGAGATGCTGCTTGTAATGGGATGATGTGTCGCCTGTGTTTGCAGGTTGAGCTGGTCTGGTCTAAAACATCTGGATCAAGTTGACTGGATATCGATTAGAATTACAAATGATATTTATTATCTTCTTTTATCTAAACTCTGGTGGTTTTGTCTTGATTAAAATTGACTATTTGGTGTTCAAACCTTTATGTAACAGGAGAGGACAATGGTCAGTAAAACCTGTAAATAGCATGTTTACAGGGGGTGCTTTGGAGGTTGTGTAACTCTTAATCAGGTGACTTGTTCCAGCATCAGGTGAACAACAAGTCATTTTCCCAAATTGCCAGTCTGAGCCTGCATGGTTGCTCAATGTGACACAGGCAGAGATTTACGTAACGAATAATAGTTGGTGTCCCAACCGTCCCCGAAGTCAAGCGTGTAATGATTTTCGCCGTCCCATCCCTATCAGCTTTCTCTGTCTCCACATCCAAACCAAAACGGGTACCAGGAACTTTATATATAGTCTGCTGTTAGAAACTGATGATGGTTATTTTAAGGGAGGTGAGTCCATCCCAGCTGTATTGTGAAGTAGAAATTACACTTTTGAATTGGACCACTTCAAATGAGAACCCTGAGAACTGGTTCTGAACTTGTATAACACCAATGTTGCTCAGGTTAAACATTACGAGGGAGTGTTTTGTTGTGAAAAGCTTTTCGCCCATAGCAACATATTTTCTCACAGCTCGCTAAATGAGACGAACAGTAGCACTCGGATCAAAGTCGGTAAAACCGCAAACCTCAAACCTGCCTGCCAATCATAACAGGCTGGCGTGCTTCTGTGTCCTTATTACAGAGTCCCCTGATGAGAAAGGACACGTGTGTGTGTGTGTGTGTGTGTGTGTGTGTGTGTGTGTGTGTGTGTGTGTGTGTGTGTGTGTGTGTGTGTGTGTGTGTGTACCAGCTGAACCTGAAAAACAAGCAAACATTAAAACACCAGCTGAGCCTTAAAGTGAGGGCGAGGGAGCAGGAAAGCGGCAGAAATGCTCAGTTTGATATGTCGTGTGTTTTTCTCTGAGTCATTGGACTTTTTTATTGCTGAATTTCCCTGAGGGTCCCTTGATTGTGAAGCCCCCCTTTCCTGTTACTGAACCTGAGCACAGAAGTCGTTGGATTGGTTGGAAGGAGTGGTGGGAATGTGGCTTTGGCTCGTATGCCAAAGCCCTCAGGGCATCCATAGTTGAGGGCTTTATTTCTCACCAATTTAATGCTCGAGTAACGCTCAAGATCAGAAAGGACTTCCATGGAATTTAATGGAGGACAGTTGAAACTATAGCTGTGACACTATAGCTGTAGTATAGTCTATAATTATATACATAGTTCAGGAGTGTCATAACCAGACTACAGTGACTAAAAATAGAAACTCCTCAAGGTGTGAATTGAATTGTTAGTAGGTATGTTCTGGATTCCACAAGACCCTATTTTTAGGGGCCAACAGAGTCAAGCTGACTGAGCTGACAAGAAAAACGAACTCAGAGTAGAGTACTGTCTTCACATTAACTCGATCATTGGCAACTAAAGGAGGTAAAAACTGTTACAAACAGAACAAACCCTTTTTGAAACGGTTCGAGGGTTCGTGATTTCATGCAATTTTAAATGTATTATTAGGGCCGGGGAAATGCTAGCTGCAACATGTTAAGCATTCAGGTGATTCTGGAGGCTTGACGTCCTGCGGTGATATGCAAATTATTTTTTGCATAGTTTGCACAAGACTATTTTTTTTATCCAGGCTTCCAGCCATTTTTTTTTAAACAAAAATGCCCATCCACGCTGGAGCCAATCAAAACTTATTCATCCGCGACTTTGTTTACTTTTCCACGCGCTTGGGTGAGATTGGAGTCACTGCTGCACTCACTCACATTGGTGTACGCCGGTATAAATTGTATACCTAAAACTTGTCCAGTGAGAAACGTTCCGCGGTGCAAAACTACAGTAGGTGCGATTAATATGCGTTAATATTTTTAAGGAGATAATATTACTGTAATTAATTAATTGCAATTAACGCGTTAAATTCCAGGCACTAATATTTATTACTGTACAGCTTAGGGTGCAGGGGGATGGGTTAGGCACATGGTCAGGGCTGATACTTGGTATCAAATTCTATATTTGAGCAAGGAAATAAAAGGACTTGCAGAGAAGAATGGAGTTGGCCAGTGCGCCATTCTTGGTCCAGAAAATGAACATCAAATTGTACGTAATTGTATGTAAATTGCCAAATAACCTCTTGACCTGAGCATTGTGTCTCTAGCCCAGGTATGTGGACAATAACCTGGATGAGGAAAGATTAAAAAATGAACAATTTCCTCTATAAACAGATCAGTTGGTAACGTCATAAAAAGTTTTATTTTAAAAAGTCTATTAAAATAAGCTTAAAGGATATTTTATCTTGTGAATTTTATCGTGGATACAGCTTTAGATCTTATCTCCTTCCTCCTCATGTACAGTACATGTGTGCCTAATATCCTCTAAAGAAAAATCTCCTCCTGCTTCCTTTGAACCAGGAGACATCGCTCTTTGATTCTCTGCCAGGAAAAACGCTAACAAAGGTCTGCAGGCTGTTTATTGCTCCATCTTTATCCGACAGTGATGACAGACGTTCAAAAAAGTATGCATCAAAAAAGTCAAACACACAGCCGGTGGTTTAGTTTGCTTTTTGTTGGTCATGTAGAGACATCAGTGCACATTTAGACTGTTTTATAACCAGATAAAAACACATTTTATGGTGAAAAGGTGCATTTGTTTCTTACACAAATCCAAACATAACAGCTCATTTTTCCACAGCAGTGCCAAGTCTGCAGAAATGTTGCCAGTAAAAATAATCCAGAGAGCGATTACACTTCCTTTGACACGTGTTTGGAAAAGTGTTTAGCAGCGTATAATTGTAACTTCTCATAGACGGGATTGTTTAGTTCACAGCAGCACAATTTTAGCATCCAGGCTGCAAATCTCAAATTGATGTTTACATTCCAGTTCCAGGCTATTTCCAGACATACCTGCTGAATCCTCCCTTTCTGTTCTGTTATTCTAGCACAACATGAGGAGCGGTGGTTTCCAAATTTAAAATGATTTATCTGACTTTGGGATGATTTTGAGGCTTTGAGACACAGGTCAGTGCAAACCACAGGTTTGTTTATGACAAGTATATCCTACAGAGGAACAGATTCATTTTGCGTCTCTTAATCACAGAGCGATGCAGCGTGTCAGCAGGAGCACGCCCAGCGCATACCGACTCGCATGATGTGGTAAACAAGAAGTCAAAGAGATGCAACAGCTGACCTCTTTTTGCCACAAAATACGTCTTTATTAGAATTACATAACACACTGGAAACCTTTCCTGAGGCCTCCTCTGCTCGCTGATGATAAAATTTGATAAGCGCATATGTTTATGAAATACTGGTTAGTATTTTTCATAATATTATTACATGGAGAGACTGAAAGCCAAGACATTTGACAGGAATTGGAAGCTGTGCGGGATTTTGTCATAGAACAGAGTACACAGACAAATCCGGGTTATGAGTTTCTGTTCTTTCTCCTTTACATTCATAAGAACTTGTTTATGGTTGGTGAGGGCGTAGAAGAGAAAGAAAAGGATTTAAAGTGAACAGCATTCCAGGAGTTGTTGTATGTTTTCCATTACATCAGAGCTGTCTGAAGGCCATCGAGGGCAGATCATCACTGTCAGTCTGGGAGACTAATGTGTCTCATCATTGTCTGTCAGAGAATAAGAAGTGATCCCATGATGCGCGTAGTGGTCTGAGTTTTTTGATGTGTCATGCACTGAAACTCTGGTCTTTGTCTGGTCAGATTCCTGCTAATGTATCGTCTCTAAAGGCCGAGTATTATTGGCATTATTCATCAGTGGAATTTCTTATGAAGCACTTACAGCAGCCTCAGGTCCTCATTCAGGGTGGCTCTTATCTGCAGCGCTGCAGGAGCCTCTCTGTGGTTCCTGTTATTGCGATCGTCATGTTGTGCAGGCAAATACTTGCACCCACTTCGGCTGTGGCCGGGCTCTCGGCCTTTTTCCACCGCCTGACAATTCAGATTGTTTAAACCGCGATGGCAGAAAATACGGATTGTTTGTTTTTACAATGCCAGTCTACAGTGGCCTGAGCGTGCGTTGTTTTGACTCTGAGAACAATCAACTTCTGCAATAAAAGAGCACCCCTCCCTCCCTCTCTCCCTCTCTGCACAACTCCCCCTCCTCTCTAACCTTCTTCTCCTCCTTATTTATTTACAACAAGGATTCCTCCTGAAATGCCAGCATCTCCTCATTATTTTTTACTTTGGCTGGAGCATGAGAAAACTCCTCAACAGAACAGATTGTTTGGAACAAAACACCGAGGGGAATTGTCTGATGTGCTGCCAGTTGTCAAAAGTGTGTCGTTTGTAATTGAGAATTAATGAACAGTCATGTAAGCCTGGAATGGCAGCATCGTGTAATCACAACATGTTTATTGGATGAGCAAATAAAGTTGACGTCCCGGAAACTTCCTCTGTGATGGTCAAGGTGACTGGACTTCCAACGACTTCCATATATTCGGTGTTATGGCATTTTGTTACCTTGACATTGTTCCTATTGAGTGCACCCATGTGCCCACTTTTTAGACCTAGAAAACAACAGGAAAACACTCCTAATTAACAGGTTACTTAACTCGTTCACCCTGGAGCTCAGAGCAAGGCTGTTGTTTCACCTGTCAGGTTTTGTAGTCTGGAACTGTTATGCATGAAAATTGTTAGTTTTTGAAAAGAACTAGCTTTGTTTTTATACATAACTTGACATATTTAGATTTTGAATTTCTGCTCATGGTTATTGATTCCATTTATCAGCTGAGATATTTCCTTTTGAAGGAAGTTGACCAACTCAAAATACAAATTTTTTTTAATATAATATATGCCACCATTTTGGGTGGGCTTGACACCAATAATTAAGACGTGTAACTTTCCACAAGAGGTTAAATCTACAGGCACTCACAAGATCAACATGATTTATACTCCAAATATACAAAAAGTTTGCTTGGCTGGGAGAATCTCAACATGTACTATATGTGCTGCATCAATGTTAAAGACCCACTACAATGAAAATCATGTTTTTCCTGCTGTCTACATGTTCATATGGCATTTTCCTGATGCTACAGGTCATATCATGAGAATCGTAAGTGCGAAATTGCATTTCTGAGTATTTCTGCAATTTAAATCGCTGTGACCCAAACGGCAGGCTCAGAAACAGTGAGATTTCCTATGTCACAAATCCAAGCTCCGCCCCCAGAGCGCTGCTATGCAGGCCAGTCTCGGAGAAACAGAGAGGACAATTGCAGAACAAGTGTGTGCCTTAGCGGATTGCAATGTTCGTCAGAAGGCAAACTATGATATTAACTTTCATCATGTCCTCAAAAACATTAGTGTCTAAGAGCTGAATAGCTTCTATGTTACCTGCTACTTCTGCTTCACCGGCAATGTTAAGCTACAAGCTAGCATGAGGAGGAGTGTGCAGAATGGCGCTGTCTCCGCAGTTGTAAAAAAAAATTATCGGAGTGGGACTTTCACTGGGATATTACACTGTTCTTGGGGGGCATATTGTGATAGCTTAACACAATTTGACTCTGCAGGGGTCCATGTCTACCAAAAGTGGTCTAAAGAAGGTGGTGGTTGGTGGTCAAGACGAGCTGATGTGGTCGGTGGGTAATGGTGGCAACAGAGAAGCAACCGGACTCAGATTTCTCAGGAGACTTTAGACTGGATCTGATAGAAAAGTTGTCAGAACACACAGTGCGTCACATTTTTAGGGCTGCTTAACCGCAGAGTGACCATGCCGACCTCCTTTACCACCAAACGAAACCTGCTGTGGTTACATAAGAACCAAGACTGGACCTCTGAACAATGGAAGAAGGTGGCCAACAGCAACAGGATAGTGTCTACTTGGGCTCCAGTTCTCAATCCAATCATGCATCTATGGGAAGGGCTGGACAACCAAGTCTGATAGATGGAGGCACCACCTTACAACTTCCAGGACTCACAGGATCTGCTGTTGGTGTCTTGGCGCCAGATTCCACAGCACTCCCTCAGAGATCTGGTTGACTCTCCCGATCAAGGATGTAAAAACCCCGTTCTGAGACAAATCTTGTCAATCCCCATCTGTAGTGGAGGATGACAGTTGGCTGCACAGGCACTACTACCCCCATCCCCTCTGTTGTACTGTGCCTTTAAAAACAAACAGTGTCGTCGAAGTTGGTTCCACTTGATCTTAGGAAAGTTTGCAGGGAACAACAGGAAGCTGAGCTGCATGTTTATGGAAGAAGTACGTCAGATTATGTAGGTTTTGTCAACGAGATAAAACACAACCGCTTCACAGAGAAATGGAAAAGTACTTACTGATGGAGACTTTGAAAGCTTTTCAGCCTTCCTCTCCAGACTTTCCTTTCTTCTCTTAGGGAACCAAAGAGTGTGTGAGTGTGTGTCTCTCTATGTGTGTGTATTTTAGGGGTTGTAGGTGAACTGCGGGTGGGGGAAAGGTGGGAGTCTCTCCTTTCAAAAGGGCCAAGAACAAAACAGGAAACCATCCCCTTGTTTTGGCTCGTGGTCGCTACAAGTGTTTGGAATTTTGAGGAGCCAAATCACGTGTTTTTATGTTCATGTCTGCGCTCAGGTCAGAGCATGCACACACAAACACACAAAAACTTTCACACACACATACACACACATAGAGGGGGAATGTCTGGCATGTCTTTATAAGCAAAGACCTGAAGACTGAGAACCCCCCCGTGGATGTTATGAGCAGCGATCACTGAATAGACTAAATACACCTCGATACAGTTTGGTGGCCTTGCTTGACTCTGGGTTTGGATTCATTGTGGGCCAAAGTGATGTTGATGCTTGTGTCTTTATGATTTTGGCTAACAAGTTAACAAAACATCATGACCCCTTAATATATCTCACTAACCATACACTACTCTGCTTCTTTTATCCGTTCAAAAATGTGTTCGGGAAATAACACAAAACAAAAAAAAAAAACATCTTCTTGGAATATTTCTTATCGCCTTCAACAAGAGATAGTACAGAAAAATGGGCTATTGTTGTGAAAGGAATCTGGGAACTTGTGTTATTGTTGACACTGTTTCTACAAAGACAAGGCTTTCCTCCACTTCCTCAGGCATCATATTGTTTAGGCATAGTTGGCATCTCTGTGTGGTTTATTTTGCACCGTTGAGGTTACCTGGCATGCTTCACGACCTGCCAACAGAACTACCAAACAAAGTGACACCTATTCTTCTCAGCTCATGCACGGGGACCTCCCCTGTGGATGCCTTCCTGTGCCTGTCAGATCCTCAGCTCCTACCCTCATGATAAACAACGTCTGAAGAGATGCCTCCCCCGATATTAAAACTTTTTAATGCTTCCTTTGATTGTACGAAACAATTGGTCACATCAAGGTCGAGGCTACAAAGAGGAAAAATAAAGGTTTGGCTCATAATTGATACTTTGATTGTTTCAATTCAAGTAAAAACCACAAATCAAAAACCTTCTCTTTTCTCTGTCACTTTAATTAACCTACACGGTTCCAAAATGGAAAGCTTGATGGTTATCATTGAGGTACACCACAATTCATTTCACAGTATGACTCCTGGCTACTGCGATTAAGTGTAGACTGAAGTGGAAAGCCCAAACTTCAGAAGGATCCCACTTCACACAACTACAAAACTGTTGTATGTCATAATGTGATATATTTACCGCAGAGGATTAGAGCAACTGAGAAGAAAATATGAGGCTGAATATAAATACTTTTTATTATTAAGCTGAAAAAAAGTCAGTATTCCAAGAAAAACTCATAGTTCTGAGATTAAAGTCAGAATTGTAACTTTTCTCAGAACTCTGCCTTTAATCTCAGAATTCGGACTTTTTCCCCGGAATTCTGAGACTGAATTCAGAATTCTTACTTCTAAGATTAAAGGCAGAATTCTGAGAAAAAAAAGTCTGAATTCTCACTTTAATCTCAGGATTCTGATCTTCTACTTATAGTATGTATTGTATTGTGTCATACTATATCGTACTGAATTATTTTGTTTTATATATTTTCATATGTCATATTGTGTTATACTGTGTTGTGCAGTGTTATTAACAGTTGTATTGTGCCATATCTTGTTGTAACTTGTATTTTTTTCTGTATCACTGTTATGTTTTACCTCTTAAATTTATCACATCTTATTGTACCATATTTTACAGAATCTTATTGTATCTCCTCTTGTGGTATAATATCATCTAATTCCCTGTCATATCTTATTATAGTGTTTCACACAAACAGTAGATAATCTTCGAATTAATGATATCGGATTCTAAGTTTCTTTATCCTTTAATTTCTCTATTTGTATCTTTGTTTATGCTGCTGCAATTTTGGAATTTCCCCCTGTGGGACTATTAAAGGAATATCTTAAATTAGAAAACCAGCCACACCGGTTGTTGACTATTAATAAATCATCTAAATCCTTGCAGATATATTTTCTTCTGGTAGATTAAGCAATTTTTCGATATTTTAAATTTACAGATGGGATATAGACTGCTGTAAATGTTCAAAATGTCCATTTTATGTTTAAAAAAATCAAATCCAAGTTTAATTTGACTTAAGGAAATACTGACTAGTTAACTTTTGTTCATGAGAAGGACTTTTAAATAAAGATAAACTTGTTTAACTATCTTTTGTTGTTAGATTTTTCATCAATGCTTTTTGTTTGTTTCCTAAAAGTATCTCAGAAAGAGTAATGTGGTAATTAAAAGTCCACGTTTTCCTTTGTTCTCCGTGAACCCAACTTTTCTCTCATTACCCTCAGTGTTTTTTGTTTGTGGATAGATGTTGTCACTCATGTTCAATAGCATTGACCTTTGACCCCCTGCAGAAGTACTTCCAGGTGGGACCTCTCTGGTCTTGCCCCGACATCGAGCAGAGACCTCCTGCAGATATTTCAACCCTAAACAAACAGTGATCTGACCGCTTAGAAATGTCGCGTGATCTCTGTGAACATGCCAGCTCAGTCAGGCAAAGGCTGACATGTCGGAAAAATCAAATACAGCTCTGTGAAAGACAGCAGATGTCCACATTTTTTTATTGTGGTACTGAAGGTGTAATCATGAGACAAATGAGGAAGGAAAAGAAATTTAGAAATTTATTACACAGAACTTTGATCCCCCCGCTTGCGATGTTGACATGTAGTTATTGTAAGACTGATTTGTGCTCAAGTCCTCTTTTTTCTGTGCAGCTCTGTTTTTATCAGGGGGTTCATATTTTCTATGATTGACACTTGATACAGCTTATGGGCGTACAAGGATTATGTAGCTCACCTGGGGGATATGCTGTTTGAGCTGAGCGTCATCCCAGCGACTTTCTGCGACTCTCCCGCCAAATGCGCACAGCACTACTGCGCAATGTTGGTTTCAGGAAATGGAGAAAAAACACAGAATTACCAAGAGCTTTTTGGCTTCAAATCTGTATACTGGCAGGAGGTGGAACCAAGTTGACTATACAGTCTATGGTCTCTACTCAAAAAAGCCAGCTTAAGCCAGAAATGTATATGTTCAAATCCAAGACGAAGAATTTGAGTGATTGAGAGTCAAGGCAAAGACCAGGGTGAGGTACTGAAAGGACCTTTAGAAAAAGGTACCTAGAAAAGTCTCCAGATCAAGGTTGATGTAGGTCAAAGTTCAAACTTCTGGCCAGCTGCACCACCTGGCATCTAATCTGTCATCTACGTTACAAACAAGCCATTCAGAGTCAGTTCTGCTCAAAGATAGAGTTGACTTCATCTCTTTCCATCACAAACCCTGCTGCTTATTGTGCCAAAAGTTGACGACGCATCACTCTGCCCATCCTCTAATGTGCACCGCTCTGCCTGTGGCTTCAAACATCATCAGCTAAAGATCAGCTGTCAGGCCATCGTCACCCAAATTTGCTCCATGTGTCAGAGGAATGTGTTCGGGACAAAGGCTGCAGCTTGTTGCATTAGCAAAGCTGGAAAGAAATTATCATACCTTCCTCCAGAACCTTAGGAATGCTGTGTGTGTGAACCCAGGGGTCACTGTGGAGCACACAGAACATGAATGTCAGGAATTTCTTTTTCCAAAATCCTTAGCAGGTGCCTGCAAGCATACTTACTGTACATGTAATCTTCCCTAAGGGGACTGTGGCGCCCTCCGGTATCACGCAAGTCTCCGTGCGACTTCTGAGTCACATCATCGTCTGATCTACCTGCGCTCTCCCAGCGTGTCTGCGTGCTAACATTAAGCCGCACTTATAGAGATCTGGATGATTTTAGCGACACTGTCTGATGACCAAGTACCACCCGTGAAGAGGATGATAAAGATATGAAAAACAGATCCTTCATTACATCCTCGAGCTATGTAGAAAACTTTCCACCGGAGCTGAAACTGAAGCATAAAATGTCTGCAATGCTTGAAGTGACACTTGAAAGAGTTATGCAAGACAATCCATCCACATTTTCCAGCTGATTTCTCTTAACCTGAACGCCACAGTTCACGGAAAGTTAGCAGAACTCCGGGGAGGTCTGTCAACTGTGTAACAGAGCGGTAACAAACAGACTCGAGGACATTAAGATGATGCTGGACGAGGCAACAGGCTGGGGAAGAGGATGCTGCTCCCAGTGTGTTAGTGAACGAATGATACCAAAGGCAACCTGTAATGGATGAGACCCCACAAGCTGTACCAGGTCCAGTTAAGAGCTGTTTTTTTCCTAGAACTATATCCCCACATCCAGACTGTCTGTGTAATGGGGTGCTCACACTTAGCGTGAGTAAAATCATCTACTTGCTTAATTCGCACGAATCTAGACGCGTGAATGAAGAGTATTTACTTGTTTCAGTTTACCGGGTAATCCGACCTCTTCACTCACTTGCCTCCAGGCCCACTCCTTTGTATTCTGGTTACGGTAATTGAAAAAAAAAAGGTATTGTATAATCCGGGGCACCCACACACCGCCACGATCAGTTAGTTCTCCAGTTTAGATACCAGTGAACAGCCGTCCATTTTCACCCGACAACCTTCATGCTGAATAGTTAATGCAACGCAAAGATCCGCTCAAGTTGAGACATTTTCAGCTCATGCCCAATTCACATCATTCACGCCGCCAGAGTAGTCAGAGCGTCTAATCGTGTCTTTGCATTGACTATTTTGATTTTACTCGTGCTTGGTGTGTGGAGACAGTAACCGTGTTAACACCAGGCCTCCTGATGGTTAGTGTCATCTCCATGTTTCTTTTGAAGACAGGCTGCAAACCGAGAATCAATCCAACAACTTCAATGCACGATGCAAAGTCCAACTGAATGAATGCAGATCCATAAAAACAATGCAGAGTTAACATCTAACGTGATATGTTCTACATTTGAATTGAGGTTTGTTTGTGCGGCACATTTTAAGAACAGACGATTGCAAAGAGACATCAAATGCAGACAGAGATTAAAGAAAGGCTTGGCTAAACAAGTGTGTCTTTAAACCAACATGTACAGTTCATAGTTCCAGAGGACAGCTCTAAAGTTCAGGAGCTACAACCTTAGAGGCAACCGTGGAGTTTGATACAAGGAACAACAGAAAATGGTCTAGAGTCTTGGATCTTGAACTTAACTTGTAGAGACTAAGCTCATTCATTATCTCAGAATTTTAGGCCAAGAAATCAGGGTTTAACTTTTTTCTTTTACTCGATGTTGTAATCTGGTAAATATGTGTTGAGGCAGCAGTCACAGTGTTTTTTCTGACATTTTTAGCATTTTTTTCACAGGCTGTTTTCTGTCACAGAACCTTTTAATCCCTCGCTGGTTGATGAGGCTTGAACCAGGACCTACATTTTGATTGACAGACAAAGAATTAACGTCATTTTTTGACTTTGGCAGCTTAAATTAGGACAGTTGATCAGTCTTTGGTCTTGTTTGTCTCGAGTCACGACTGTCTCAAATGTCAGTGGTCAAAAACTTAAACTCTTTGTTTCCTTCTTTGATTATCAGTCAAGGTTTGGGTTAGTTAATCTCAAATAAACTTGATGAATAGAGACTGTAACTGTATAATTAGTATGAAAAAGCTATATACAAGAGCGAAACATTATAAAGGTTTAGAGATGTCAGTCATTCCAGCTCCCTCTGGGCTTCACTGGTGCCCCTCAACTCATTTACCCCACTCACTCCAGTTGTGATCTGCAGGATTACCCCAGTAAGAAGCCGTCTGTCGTCGCCCCGGCCTGTCGCTGCGCGGTAATGGAGAAGTTAAGAGTGTTTTGAGGTGTGTAATCTGTCAGGCGGTGCTGCAGGCTCATGGCTTTGGGATTAGCGTGACAGAGGAGAGAAGGGGCTATTTCCTTGTTTCTGGGCGGACTATGTGACCTCATTACGGGCCGAAGAGTCACCGCATACCATCAGCCTTTTTGATCACCTCAGCAACACTAGAAAATGTTTCACGGTGTGACCAGTAGAAAACAACCAAGTTTATTGCTTTTGTTTGTATAGCCGTTGTTTCTGCTGCGTCTTTGATGGCCTTAATCAGCCCAGCAGGGACCTGAACTCTGTGACCTTTGGGTGCAGCATTGATCCACTGTGTGTGTTGCCCAGGATCTCTAAGGGACGGGTCAGGAATTAGGAGGGAGTCAGGCGCCTTCAACAAACAGGCGATGTCACCAGCACTTTGCCAAAATATTTCATGCTTGGCCAGGCTTTGCCCGAAGATCATTACCTAAGTGAGAAGGGAGGAGGGGAGGGAAAGGGAGGGCGGCTGCTGGTGACACCAGCATCAGGCCAAGATGAAGAATGTGGATAACAAAGATCTTATCTGCATCGAGATTCAACATACA